CATCCCCAATCGATCCGAGGAACAATGCGGGGCTCTCCCTGCAGTCAGCGCCAACAGCCTGGTGCCTTCAGCACAAGAAGAACAAGGGCAGGAGCCGGGGACGTGGCAGGGAGAGATGTGATGCCCAGCGCAGCACAGTGAGAAAAAGCACACAGAACTGTTTATGTCTCTACCGTATTTATCTCAAATAGCTGCAAAAAACAGCAGAAGTAATTTGAAAACCACTCCAGGAAGTTTGTGTTACCAACAAGATAAAACATTCCTAAGGACACAGAATTTTTCCGCTGGAACAAGGTCCCTAGGAGAAAGAAGAATCCATGGAAAACAGGTAATTGGACTTAAATTAACAACCATAAAATAAAATAAAAACACAATTAAAAATTTGTTCCCATTTGCTTTAACTTGATAGATTTCAGTATTTGTATAAGGCCCTGCTATAGCTGCAGTTCTCAGCTTTCTACCTTAGAAATGTATTAAATGTGGTAGAAAAGAACAAAAGAGATTGAAGAATGGTGTAGAAAGCCGAAATCTTCCTAGGAAAGGTGTGAATTTCCCCAGAAATTGCCAGGCAAGCGCAGTGACGGGGAGCTTCAGTGCTCAGAAGCCACCTGCAGAAGCTGCTCTCCTGCATTAATCCCCAAAGCCCAGGAGATGGAGCAAAGCTTCAGCCTTTCTAGGATCTCCTACAAACATTTTGGGACTGGCTGGACCACGGTGGACGCATCCCACCTTCCCCAGGAGCCGCACAGCCTTGCTGGGAACAAAACACTGCCGCAGCGGTGCACACGTTTGGGCTGAACCCGTCCAAGATCATAAATAAAAAGTCAGCAGAAACCTGCACGCGTCACATCACGTATTGAGTCACCTCGGCCGACAACTTTCACATATGTGTACTCGGGTGCGTTTTAAAGATTTTGGATTTTAAAGGTTTGCCTGTGCTAAGGGAGGGCTGCGGGTCTGAGCCTCGTCCCTCCTCGATCCCTGGGCCGGAGGAATGTCCCACACCAGTCTCCCTCCTGCAGGGCTCGCGGCAGCTCCCACGGGAGTTTGTCCTCCCACATCGCAGAGTATCTCTGTTCAAAACAGCAGAGAGAAAAAGCAGGCAGCAATTAAAAACATCAGACATGGCTTATTTTAGCACAGAGCCCTAATGCCTTTCTAAGGGTTCCTGGCAAGGACTGGTTTTTCTTCTTCATCCACCACCTAAAAAGCACTCAGAAACGCTCCACTACATACGGTTTTATGTGTTTTTTTATTTCCCCTCTACACTCTCATCCCATCAACATCATCTTCTACCTTCTAAAGAGACATTTGTGACAATGTAAAAGTGAAGCCTGTGGGTGTTTTACATTGGTGTTTCACGTTGCTCACCTCTTGGCTTTGTTCTGGATCATACTTAAGGAAAATTTCTAAATATTTCTTCAAACTGGAAGGGGCAGGAAGGATTTCAGAGAAACGCAAGTGGTGGGAAGGCTCTGCAATGCTGCTGGTCAGTCACTAGATGTCCCCACCAATCCTGGTGAGGAAGGGCTGTGGTTAAACAGCAGAAAGCGCAGAGGAGTTGGCAATTCAAAGCAAGCACAGGTAATCTGTATTTCAGCTGTGAACAAATATGATGATAATTACAAGTATGTCTTTATTACCTCTTCAGCTGCATTATCCAGAGCTGGTCGCTGTGAACAGTCACACACGTGCATCAAAACATCGCCCCAGAAACACGGTGCAAAGTAAGCTGGAGGCCTGCAGAAGGCAAAGTTAAATGTTCTGGGGAACAACTGGCAAAAATCGGGTGTTGCACAAGCGGCCCAGCAGTGCCAGCTCCCTTGTGGGCGATGAGCAGGGGGTCCCATGGGACATTGTGTCCTCCCTCTCCTTCCCCGTGCCACCCAAGGCCAACCCCAGCCCTTTGCTACCTGCCCCAGGCAACATCGGAGAAAGAAGTTGGATCTTCTTATTCTCTCCTCTTCTGGGCTTCCTCCTTCACTCCATACCTCCACCCTTCATAGAAGTTTCTAAGAGCACAACCCTTGCTGGGCCAGGCATGCGGAGAACGACAAGAGGGGCTACAAGTGCTGCAGCTGCCAACGCTCCCACTCTTCGATTTCCAGCTCCTCTCTCTGCAGCCGAGCTCCTGCTTACTGGAAACTGCAATCTGGCTTGGAGCTCTGGTCCTAGAGGTTTTACACCCAATATCCCCAAATATAGCAAACCATCCTCAATCCAAACCCACCTCAAATTCCCATCTTCTCAACAACATCATCCAAAATTGTCCTGGTCCTGTCCGAGCAAGCCGAGAGGTCACGCCAAGTGCCAGCGCTGCGCCAACATAGATGTGTTAGACTGAGCTAAATCCTGAATGCTAATGGAAAAGCCAATACAAAACTCAATGGCTACAGCATTAAAACAAAGGAATGCAAACAACACTTTAAATGGGGCACAGACCTCGTTACACACCTCGTATCCTTTTTTAAGTGAAAAGCTTTGAGAGTGCTGACAAGTAACTGCCAGCCTGCACTGATACCATTAATTCTGGGTAAGGTATTGGACTTTGCACCCCTTGGCTTTCTGCTCAGAACACCAACGTTTTATAAACAGCAGCAAGCACGACTCAATGAATGAAGAACTTGCGAACAGACAGACCTCAAAAACTACTTGGAGAAATGGAAAAGCACAGCGACATGGGGGTATTTTCAGTGGGCCTGTCCGCAAGTTCTTGTTAATACTCACTTTCACCAGCAACCTAGAAATAAGCATAAAATTTCATGGTGGTGGTGAAGCTTATGGTTGCTACAGAAAGTAGGAAATGACAAATAACTCTGCAGAGATGAGTGAAATGTAATAACCTCAACTGTTTGATGACCACTGTGCAAAAGCAGTTGTACACAAAAAGCCAAGTCGCTCTTCCAGAAAGGTGGGTGTCTCAGAGGACACAAGGTCAAAAGAGGACCCAGCAGATGAGCAACACAAACCCCAAGAGCTACCCTCCAACTGGGAAAGGCCGCAGCAATTTTTAGGTGGACCAATAGATGAGCAAGAAGTATTTCCAGAAACACGAGGCCACTTCTGCCTGCGCATCGCTGCCCAGCTGAGGCTGAGCAGCAGGTCCAGGGGTGGCGACCCTCCCACAGGGATGCTGAATGAGCCCAACTCGGCTCCCTCAGGGCAGGTCTCTGCAAAGACACTGAGCACCACTCCTCCCTCCCCTCGCACCCAGAAATTCAGACTTACAGATGTGTTTTGGGAGGGTCTGAACCGCCCTGGGCCAAGCTTCCCGAAGCGGAGGCCACTGGCCCTCCGCACCCAACCTAACACCACAGGCCAAAAGAAATCAGACCACGGTGATTCACCCTCCCTTACTTTAAAACCCTGAAATAACACACACTGCACTTTTCCAAGCACTCAAGTAGAAATAGGAGGAATGCTGAAGTGGTTTTGGTAAGCACACTTTTTAGTTTATTGACCTATACAAAATAATAGGTCTAAAAAATTCAGAAGTAGTAAAAGAATAAGCAAAAAGAGCTTTCGCATTTCTAGAAGGCTATACAAATATGCAAAAAACAAGGAAATAAGTTATTTTTTATTTTGTTTTTGTTCGTTTAATTCCAAATCGCGACTCTAATAATACAAACGACTAAGTACCAGCTTAACAAGTGTGTTCTTCTGTATATATTACATGCTCTGGAATATTGGTAAAAAACGTCAAAAAAGTTTATCAGAAACTTTTCTATTCACAATATGAACAAGGAGTAACTAATCCTTTGTATAAAAGAAAAAAAAGAGCACCATTTATGGAATCCTGAAGCACAGTACAGCTGAGAAACGAGAGAGATTTTACCGTATGCAAACGACTTGTTGGGAATCACGTAAGATAACCCATGCCAATTTGTTCCTACAGATGGATGACGTGAGGTAGGTTTATCCCTCTTAGATCAAGACTGCAGTCGCACTTTTTTTTTCCCCCCTACACAAATGGTTTCGTGAAAATGCTGTTCTGTCACTTAGTGACTTTGCAACGCACCTGGCAGTTCAGATGACTCGCGGTACAATCCTAATGCCCCTCATTTTAAGGCACCCAACTTGGCTGTTTGTGTTTGTATCCACCTTAAAATACTGGCCGTTACAATCAAATTGTTCGCCGGGTGGTCACTGGAGCTCCCCAGCGCGGCTCCTCGATTCACTGTGGCAGAGCAAAATGGAACCATCACCCGACGAACGGGAGGTCACTGTGCAGCCACCGTGAAAATTTACCTACTGCTCCGCACAGTGAAGTTGTACCATGGAAAAGGTCATTAAATGGGAGGTTATTAATTACACTTTATCATGGAAAAGAGTTCAAAGTTTACTGCTTCTGTTTCCAAAACTCCACAACTGCCTACAGGTTTTACATGACATACTGTGTCAGCAAATTCTTTTCTTTCCAGAATTTGCTTGTGGTGCTAACACACACTCTTAACACCCTAAAAAAAATAAATGGATAAACTCATTCAAACCTCCATAATAATAATAAAAAAAAAATAATCCAGCCTTCCTTCAAGTAATGTTCCAATACTGAATAAGTCGCCCTTTGCCTCACACACACAGTATCTATCCTTCATAAGCTTATGAATGTCCTTCCAGGTCACCATAAGCCATGGCAGAACAAATTTTCATTTCTTCTTTCAGACATCAGAATTGTGCTCCTAGAATTCCTGTTTTTTCCATGAGTCTCCTTTTCACATTTTTTTTCCCTCTGAGGTTTGCTTTCAACATCTTCCAATCTTCCCAAAAAGTGCTTGCTAAATATAAATACTTCAACCAAGTGCTGCATCTAGTCATAGATTAAACTGTGGCTTTGCCCTCGCTCGTGTAGGCTATCTGGACTCAGAAAGAAACGCCATTCGTGGCAAGACTTTGTCATTTTGCTACAGTCCCTCTTAACGCTGAATGTAATCTTTCCCAGCGGAACAGCCCGCTTCCTTTTCTCGTTTGGTTTGGAAGTTCCACCCGAGATCCGCCTCGGAGTCACAGCCGTTTTGCGCAAGGCATGCCAGGGTACGGATGCGGGGCTGCAGGCGGTCTACACGAGCGTCCCGGGCTTTGAATCCTCATGCCAGAATAACCTCTGCTCCTTGCCGTGCAAGTCGTCTTCCAACCGGCTCTCCTCATCGCCACCCAGCTGGCTCGTCTCTGCATAGGCTCTGTAAGAGAGACACGGCACCAGGGATCAGCGAGAGCCGAGGGGCGTCCCCAGACCCCCAAGCGCTGCAACAAACTCACACAACCCCCTCAGGCTTTGAGTCACGCTGCTTATTGCGAGTTCAACCCTTCCCCGGCGTGATTTGGAGCCGAACTAACACAAACCCCGTTTTCGTGCCGTAATTAGTCAAATTGTGTGCGACAGGATCTCAGCTGCTCAAAGTTGTCAAGGCTGTAGAGCGCATTGATTGCTCGTTTGCCATAATCACATTAAAATAGAAAATAAAAACAGATGAATGATCAGACAAGTGATTCACAATACGGAAAATTAATAGTTAATAAACCTTATCTAGAAAAAGCTGCCAAAATAAGCAGAGTTTCCAAAGCCCAATTACAGGAAGAACTTAGCACAACTTGTATTTTTAAACACTGTTACTGTAGGTCTTTTAAATCACTGCAATAAAAAAAAAAGCCCATGGCATTTAGCTTAGAAACAAGCAGAAGCTTTTGTATCTTTTCTTAGCCTTTCATCTATTTTAAAGCAAACAAAATGAAAAATTCAGTAATTTTATGCAAGTCAGCCTGGCAGCAAGCGTAAGCTGCGACTCACGAAGCGGGAGGCACAAACGTGGGGTACTTACTCCAGCTGGCTACACTTAGCGTATGCGCACTTAAACGCGACGGCATTTGTAGGGGCAGAGCCATTCCCACGGACAGGAGGTCTCTGTTCTCACTGATAACAGCCGGCGGTACCATAGCCGGGGCAGAGACTGAAAACACCAAGTAGGAGCAGCGAGAGAGCTGCAGGGATTTCTGCAAGGACAGAGCAGACCCTGGGCTGCCCGCGGTCCTCGGGAGAGCCCCCACGAGCAGGGCGGCCCTGCAAGCAGCAGCACATCCCGCCTGGTCCCTACTGGGAACCGGGAACATCCAGATGAGATGCGCTTGGCAGAGGTGCTATCGCCTTTGAACGCCAGCGCTCAGACATGAGGTTGAAGAGGTGTTTCCTTTCCTTGTTTATCCAGAGGTTTATCAGCACAGGCACTACAGCTTCAAAGACACAACAGGACTGTGTCCTGCCGGACCGCTGATGGGGTGCAGGAGAGACCTCCTGTCTCAGGGGCTGAGAGGGACCGGGCTCAGCGGGTGCTCTGCCCACAGCACCGCTCGGAGCATCGCAGCTGCCAGGGAGTGCAAGATCTCTGATGGTCCAGCGTCAGCCAGAGGAAAAGGCTGTGCAACAAACGAGTTCATCCTGCGCTATGCCTGCTTCCCCCTTCCTCGAATACTGGTGGTACAGTTAGCGGTGGTGCAGCTGATCGACACAGAGAAGACTTGCTCTCACAAAGTCAATTTTATAATTACTTTTCATCCTGGCCCTTTGAAATCAAGCTGATTTTCCTCAGAAGTCTCAACAGCCCGTGAAACGCAGGAGGAAGGGCAGAAACTCTCCTACCCTCCTACTCACCTGCTCTGCAAAGGAAGGTTGCCATAAACATTCCCGTAACAGCTGGAATAAGAGGAATGAGACAACGTATCGTAGTCTGAAAGTCCCGGTGCAAGTGGGCTTCGCCAGTTCCCAGCAGTGTTTGCAGAAGATGCTGGAATTTAAAAAAAAAAAAATAAAATTACAGCAAATTAGATCCTTCTCCAGCTAAATCAGCTAATACAAATGAGACAGTTCTCATTAGTTATCTCTACGGGTTTCTGTAGGACACACAAGCAGACAACGCAAACACAAAATACGATTTACAAGCCCTGCAGGGAGGAAAGCACTGTGTGGGTGGTATTTTGGAACTAGGGAATCTCTTTAAAAACATTTTCTGACCCATTCAGTGATGCCCATCGTACTTGATTTTGGAAGCCATCATGGCAACTGCATTTATATGGCATGAAGTTTCACATATTGGTTCTAGCCGGTAAACACGCCTGTTTGAAACCCGTATGGCTCTTTGAGCTTCTTTGGACTACTGCGCTTACAGAGAGTAAAAGGCAGTTGTACCCATGGGAGAAGGCAAGTCTTTTCTCCCGAGCATGGAACAACAAGATCCTACTCGGTTCCTCATTCACGCTTCAAGACAGAGCTCTCGCCTTGCTTCTACTCTGCTGACTTCAGCGAGGCAGTGGAGGGGACCAGAATTTGATGCATAGCAGGGGCTTACAAAAACACTCAGCATAGAAGAATTCAGACATTACCCGAAGAGAAAGACGACACCCGACTGCTCGGAGAACACGGCACCTGCGGACCAGCAAAGCCCAAACTCCTTTGAGATCCTCTGTCAGACTCAAAGCCTGCCTGCAGGCTATGACCCTGTTCCTTTTGACTGGAGGCACGTTGGTACCAACCACGGAGATGCTCTGCTACTAAGGCCTTGTGAATGTTTTTGGTTATATGCTCCGTTTTAGCAACTTGCTTCCTTGGAAGCCTTAGGGTTGCATACGGGTTGTGCGGTACTCTGTCCACTTCATCCTCATGGTAAGACCTGAATTCCCTGTAACGGTCATATCCGTAATGTGCCGACGAGCGATAGGAAGGATTGACACTGTACTGTCCCTCCGTATCACTCTCATAAACATATCCTCCATTGTAATAAACGTCAGATTCGGTGTATGGGGAATATCCAGAAATATAGTAACTAGAGGAAGGCTGCTCCTGACTTTTGTGATAGACACCATTGCGGACATCCTTCTGGGCAAGATTTGGCATACTTCCTGAACTTGCAGCAGAAATGTTTTGTTTCTTTGACCGCCTTCGGCCCCTGGTCCTGTTGTCGAGCGTCTGAGTAGTATAATATGGTTTGGGAGTAGGTGTCACGCAGTAATATTCCGCACTTGACTGGCTAGTGTAGGACGATCCGTCATCGAGGATCTCTGTGCTGCTGCTTCGCTGGGACTTGGAGAGGGTGAAGGCTGCCTTTTCAGCAG